GCACCGACCGGGTGAGTGTCATGCACGCTCTGGGAGGTCGCCTGTTGAGACGCCTCCCCGGAGGAGGTCACTTGCTGGCCGCCGCGCGCTTCGCAGCCCATGCCGCTGCTCGCGCTTGCTTCTTCGACAGCCCTTCCTGGTCTGAGTGTTTCGGCGCTGCCTTTGGAGGGTCCGTCGGCTGGGCCAGGTTTGGCGGCGCAGGGCGGCGAGGAGGTTGCAGTTCGGACCGCCTGGTGGTGATCGCCTCGATTTCCTTGAGGTAGGAGAGGGCGACGGTCACCCACTTCTGCTCTGCCAGGGGGGAAAAAGCACGAGTGGCGGGGCCTGCAGACCCAGCAACGTCTTGGTACACTCCCGTCGGCAAGTCTTGCTGCAACCCTAGCACCCACGCAAAAGTGAAGTCTCCTCCATCCAGGCAGGCCTGGTCCACGACAAGCTGCAGGAGGGCTATCGTGTCTGATGCCGCGTCTGCCGCCCCTCCGACGAGCTGGTCCCCGGCCAAAGCGGTCATCCAGGCAACCAGGGCCAGGTTTCTCTGCTTGCCGAACGACCCGAACCTCTCCAGGTACCTGATCATGGTAGGGCAGTCGGGGGTCACAAGGCGCGTGGGTCCATTTGGTGGCAGGCATTCTCCCGGATCTTCTTTGAGAAAGTGCCGGGGGCAGTCTGAAGCTCCTGCTGTAACCTCTGCCTGCCTGCTGCACCTCGCACCGACGTGGCCGAGGGGGCATCTAGAAGAGGCTCGCCTGAGTTCTGAGCCAGCTGGGCCACCAGGCTGACCAACGCCTGCGACTGGGCAAGCACCGCCGAAGCCAGGGCCGAAGGGGCCTCTGGAGCACCGTCTCCTCCACCAATGGTATCTGCAAGCTGGGCCTCGAGGTCGACCATCGGTGAAGCACGTTTTGGAGCCTGCCTTGCGGGGGGCGGGGGGCCTATAACCTGAGCTAAGGCCTTTGGCACGTGTTGGGCCGGGGGCACTGCAGACAACGGCGCCTCCAGCCTGGAAGCCTGCACCTGTTTTGGCAAGACCTGCTCTGGACCTAAGCCTGGTGGGCAGTCGGCGGCGGGGCCCTGAGCCAGGGAGTTGCTGCCCGCCGCCGCTGGAAGAAGGGAGGAGATTTGCGAGGCAAGGCCACGGACAAGAGCCTGCAGATTCGCCTGGTCTTCTGCCAAGGAGGCCACGGTGTGTCTTTTGGCCCGAGAGCCCTTTGGCCGGCGCGGGGCTGGCTCCTCGACTGCAGTCTGGTAGCCTGACCTCTGTGCTCCAAGGGCCTCGGCAGCCCACTCCTGTGTTTGTGCGAGCACGTCGGAGGCCAAAGGAAAAAGGCCTGGGTCCTCCAACAGAAAAGGTATGCCCCCAAAAGCTGTCAGGTCGGGCACAGACAAAGCGACCGAAGCAGAGGCCGGGAGATCTATAGCAAGGGCCCCCGGCAGCCGTCCACTCTCCTTGCGAGCCTAGGCGGACCGCCTGAGCAACCACCTCCAAAGAAGGCCCCAAACCTGCCGCCTCCTCGTTCAGCTGGCCTGCCAAAACCAAGCTCTCGGGCAGGAAACCTAGAGGCAGGCACAAGATGAAGCCCTCTGGCCGCTTCATCACCACATAGCTTATGCATGTAAGCGGCTCGCCGTCGGCATCGGGCTCGGGCGGCCAGGGCCATTGACATTCCAAGAGGGTAACACTGCCGCCTTCCACTGACCTCAAAACCTCAAAGTCCATTATGCTGAGGGGAAGTCCAGGCCAGCCCCAGCAAAGTACAGCCTGCTCTCTGCCTCCGAAGGGAAACCGTGCGAGAGGGAGCCTCCTCTGCGAAGCTCTCCCACGATGGCCTTGTAAGCCGCAAAGCTCCTGACCACACAGGGATCGGAGAGGCCCTCGGCAGCAATCACACAGTAAAAGCGACTCTGGAGGCCAACCTGTGCGAGGCTGTTTGGGGTAGGAACCGCCCCGTCAAGAACAGCCCTGGCCCAACAACCTGCTTCCCAAGCCCTGAGGGCTCTCTCTTGCCAAGAAAGAGAGCCTCCACGCAAGTTCCTGCAGGTCTCAAGCAACACTCCAGGCAGGGGAGGGAAGGACTCTCTGACCTCGGATCGGGGCCTGCTCTGGCCCTGCAAGGGGTACTCTGGCACACGCAAGGGTGAGGAAATCAAGGACCTGACTGCTGGCCTAGGAACCTGTGGCACCTGATGCTGCAAAAGTCCAGAGGAGGCACTGGGAGGAGGAGAGGTCACCGACGCCTTGGGCCTAGGGGGGCCCTGCAATGGGTACTTTGGCACGCGCACGGGCGAGGGTGAGGCAGAAGGCAAATCCACGCAAAAACCTGAATAATTGACAGGCGTAGTCTCGCCCAGATCCAGGGGAGAACCTGGCCCGGAGGCCTGCAAGGGGTAAGGGGAGCTCGGAAGTGCACCTGACAAGTAAGAAGAAGAGGCTCCGGCGGCAGGAGGCAAGTCAACCAACTCAAAGGACGAGGAGGAAGAGGCCAATGGCGATACGAGTGGAGCCTGGGGTGCTGCTGCTTTGGAGGGGGCCTTAGATATAGCAATCCTATAACCACATATCTCCAAAAGAAAAACACCGTCCATATGCGTACGCTGCCAGCCTTCGATTCGCCTGTCTCGTCACCTGAGGGGCCGGGACTGCTTCACGAGGCACAATCCTGACGCCCTGCCAGAAGATAAAACTCAACAGTGTCAGGAGAACCCCCAGTAAAAAAGCCGCTGCCAGCCCGCCGAAGCCAGGCCCTTTGCAGTGGCTGGGGCACGCCAGTCCCCACCACCGGTTCTCGGCACCTTCCTGAACCACACTCAGGAGGCCCCTGACAAGCGAGAGGCTCATGAACCCTAATTCCCGCTAAAAGACTTGAGTTCAAAGGCATCGATCAACATTCGCTTCTATCGGTCAGTCAGCGTGTGGGGTTGGTTCGACCTTAAAAGTTCCTTGGGTAGGAACGGGTCTGGTCGGGCTTGGCAAAAATCGCATTGGCAGGGATGCTGATCAGAATTCGTCAGATAGATCGGATCTAATGAATTAATTGTGAGGAGTTGACACTTTTCATGGTTTAGCGCCATGCCGCGGGAGGAAGCGTGGTATTGTAGCGTGTGTAGAAATCTATGCAATGATAACCGCGTTCGAGAGAGCAGCACCGTGTCGTCGGCATATTCTATATCGGTCAGTTTGAAGTCCGAGGTTAGTACGGATGGGCGTGGTCCATATGCGTCAGCATAGGCCTCATATGTATCATGAAATAGAACCGAGAGTGTGATCACGAATAAATAAGGGGAAAGAGGACAACCTTGTCTGATACCTTGAGCAAATTTTTTAGCCTTCGAGGAGTAATTTGAGTCTTTCACAATAAAGCGGCAGTCTCGATATGAGGAGAGAATTGCTGCCGCGAAAGAAGTGGGGACTCCAACTCTGGTCAGGGCATTTTGTAATGCGTCGTGAGAAATCGAATCGAATGCCTGTGACCAATCTAGAAAAAGAGCGTAAAGGATTCTTGGTGTCTTTCATGGAGTTCTAGAAGGCGTCTTAAGACAAATAGCGGGGTAGAGGTAGACTTGCCAACGCGGAATCCGAACTGGACTGGTGAGATACGGTCATCTATCGCGGTTTTGAGGCGATGGTGGAGAAGGGACGCATATATCTTATAAACTGTGTTAATAAGTGAGATCGGTCGGTAACTGGTGGGGAGAGTGGGGTCTTTCTTTTTACCCTTGAAAATCATAACAATATCGGCTGTCTTCCAAGAGGATGGGGCGGAAGCTTCAGATGATGCTTTATTAAAGTGCGCAAGGAGCGCGCGGTGTACGCTACGGGGGGCATACTTCCAAATTTCAGCTGGTAACCTGTCAGGGCCCGGCGCTTTGCGGTTCTTGAGGCTTGACACCGCCATCATGAGCTCCTGTTCCGTAAAGGCGCCAGTATTCATACAAACCTCTGGGAAGATGGGAGCTGTGGGTAGGGTAGGTAACGCGCGATGATTCCAGACATTTTTTGCCAGATGAGTTGCCAGGACTTCTGACTTGTTAGCCTTGGTGGACATTTGACCATTGGGCTTCCTAATGCCTTGTGTGAGTGGCACATAATCCTTGCGAAGGTATTTGAGGGTGGACCATTGCTTAGAAGGTGGACCGGTGCTATCCTGAAGGAGCTGATTACAGAGGTGCTGTTTCTTATCTTTACGCGCGCGTTTTTTGACCGCCTTCCTGAGTTTTTGTAAGAGATCATAGTCATCAGGGGACGTCGTGGCAATGCGGTCTATGAGCCTTTTGGTGGGTTCGGTGAGGTACTCCTTGTTATAGTGTTGGTCCTGTTTAGTACTGGGGGCTGCCCTTAGGGCAGAATTGATAAGTGTAGCAGATTGATCTTCGAGGGTTAAAGATTCAAAAGCCGGGGGCGAGTTAATTTTGATAGTGTCGCTCAAAGGGAAGCGGATTGGGAATGAATGTCTTCCTATATTGGAGGCTTGGGTAACGCCCCGTTTGGCTAAGATGTCGGCGCGTTCATTGCCTTCTCGTCCAGAGTGACCTTTGATTTTAAGGAGAGAAATAGAAAGTCGCGGAAGAAGGTGGTCAATAAGGGTGCGAATCTGAATCAGTAGATGTTGGTGTGTTTTAGGAATTGAAAGACCATGTAAAAAGTCATAGGCGAGTTGGGAGTCAGTATGGAGGTTGAGGGAGGTGATATGATACTGATTCTTATGACGTGCTACGAAGTCGAGGGCCTCAAGTAGGGCCTGCAGCTCCGCTGTATTGTTAGAGCCCGGAATGGGAGTTGCCAGGTTTTGGGCTACTGGCCCCCAGGCATCTATCCAGTTAGGTGGTTGGTGAATGGTAAAGCCCCAACCTGCTGGATTACCGACGCAAACTTGGTATTGGTTTGGACACGAGCCGTCTGCGTATGCTTCCGTGGCGTTGGGTATGGGCTCGAAGCCTAATATATGCGTGGGGTGTCCCGTGAGTTGGGAGAATGCCTCCGCAAAGCTTAGCCGAAAGGCTAGTTGGTCTTGTTTGGTGCGGGGGGGAGTGATTCTGGGTGGTGGTTTGCGCGGTGGTTTTGTGAAGCGATCAAACTTCATTCGAAAGGCGAGGGGGAAATGCCTATGAAACCAAGGCAGCGTCCAAGTAGATTGAGTTGAGGAAGAAGTAAAATTATGAAGTGAGGTGAGCGGGGCGATAACATGGTCCAGGCAAGCAAAGTCTTTATTGGTAGGCTGTGTGGGGGTAGCCTCACATGAGGAGGTAATTTCTCCGTAAGAAACAATTTTCGAGGAGGGTCGGGTGTGAAATGAAGATGCAATGAGGTAATCGTTGTGGATCATAAAGTCAAGAAGTTTAAAATAGTTGGTAGTGTGGGTATCTTCTTGTGGGGTGTCGCTAAGAAATACTACATTGACCCACTAATTACTGTAACCCACACTCACAGCGCACAGCTCCCGGCGAAAACATTGCCAAGACCACCTGGTGAGCGCAGCGCGCTCCCGGCTCAGTCAAGCCAATCCACTTCCGGTCCCAGCCAGTGCGCGTACTCTGCTGCTGAGGTCATAACTTTTGCGAAGGCTAGGGTCACGCTGAGACCACATGATGCGGCAAGCGCGGCCCTGCGATGGAGTGCTCAGAGTCTACATGGGGTGTTGCATACGCAATGGAGGCCTTGATGCTTGAATAGTTCAGCGTGTCCAGAGCACGTTCAGCATCAGAAACACTGTGGAAGTTGACATAACCTGGCAACGTTCTTGCTCGTGCAACAAATGCCGGAACAAACGAGACCCATGAAAATGTTCAGCAAAGGTGCCATAGCCAAGAGACCTGCAATTGAGGATGCAGAAACGAGCTGTCATCAGAGGCACCCCGCTACTGTTTGCGACCAGCTGTGTAAGTCGATATACAAGCTGCCACATGGCTGACTCTTGCTTAAACTCTGTGATCGCTTCTGCTCTTTCTCGTCTCCCGGGCGCACTTGCGGGAGACGCTGTCGCGGCACACGCGGATGGACGCCACGGGCCCAACGGAGTTGAAGATCTCGTAAAGCATCGCCTCGCTCCCCGAATGAAACTGCAATCCTCGCACGGACAGGTTGCGCCTCAGTGACATCAGGGTGCAGGTCACCCACATACCTGGCAAAACGATCCTCGCTCGA